TTTGTAGCTCATGTCTAGGAGTTAATCAGCTGATTAGGGTGTGGCACTACAAGTTTACAATATTGAACCTCTGCAAATTTTAATTTTCTGAGACAATGATTTAGTTTTTTTCATTATTTGTAAATCATCATCAAAATTACAAGAAATAAAGACTTGAAATATGTCACTCCATGTGTAATGAATATATATATATATAATATATGAGATACACTTCTTGAAATTGACAAAAAATATTTTTTTCATGATATCCTTTTTTAGATGCACCTGTATGACATAAAATTTTAGTGTTTTTAAAACTGGGACTATTTAAAGTTCTATATTATCTTAATACTTGAACTTTGGAAAAGGGCCTATGCCATAATGTGATGTTTAATTCTACAGGTCGCAATAGTACTGTAACTTTTTTTTTTCTTTTGAGGGTAAGTCCAAAAAAGTTCAATCTGGTCCTCTGGACATTCAAAAAAACAAAAAACAAAACAAAGCAAAAAAATATAGAAATGTTTCGTCTCTCAGCACCTCAGACTGAGGAAGTCTCTTGGATGAGAGACGAAACGTTTCTATATTTTTTTTGCTTTGTTTTGTTTTTTGGAATGTCCAGAGGACCAGATTGAACTTTTTTGGATTTTTCTACCTGGATTATTGAGCATGCATCAGGATATTTTGAGGGTAAGGTTTACTTGTATGTGCAAATGTAAATCGTAAATGATGATGTCATTTGCTATATAATATAACTCTGCTATTCATTGTTTCCATCATCAACACAAAGAGGAATGTGAACTTCAGATAGTCCCCCACTACATGACCTCAACATGAACCAGAGTCAGTTCATTCAGGCTCAAGCTAAAGCTGTGAGCATTCCTGTCTGCTCAGCAGCAGCGTGAACAGTCAGGCTGAAGACAACACTTCACTCACTCACTACTGTCAGAGTAGTAACACAAGACAAGTCTGTGTTTGCCTTTGTTTACTTTGAACAGAGGTGTGACACCACATACAGAAATGCCAATGCTACATCTGAATGTAATAAAAGCAATAAAACTCTCATCTTACATCAAAGTGCAGTGTAAAAGGGTGGGGTTCCTATGGCTAACGTCAGAGCCCATGGTTCAATCATACATGACCAGAACTTTGTGTTTTGAGTGTTTGTACTGGAACTCACAGAGTCATCATCCCTCGATGCGTGATGAGAGGAAGGATCATCATCAGACTCGTCCTCTGAAAACTCTGGCTTTTGTTTTTTCTTTTTCCCAATCTTAATGACAATTTTCCTAAAAAGAGAAAAGAAAGGAAGAAAAAAAAAAGATGAAAATTGTTCCAAGTGTAGAATACTCACATATTTTCAAAATTAAAGGTCTGTTAAAGTCTGTCATTAAGAAAAGATTAAGGTAATGCTACATATGGTCAATGTAACAAATCATTGATCAAATAAAACTCCACGATCTGTTTGTGCATGCTGTAATTCAATTCAAGGTGGTGCACCAGCTGCACTGGTCCAAAGACAAGCTGTCCAAGATCAAAGCCAACCTGGACCCCGTATGTAATCATTGTAAACAAACTCCAGCTAGATTCCTGCATGCATTCTGGACCTGTTCCAAACTGCAGGCCTTTTGACAATCTATTTTTGACACCTTCTCTGGAATATGTGGAAAAACTGTATACCCATCACCAATCACTGTTTGGGGTGGTCCCTGTGGATACATCCTTCAGCAACAACGAGAAGGACACGATTGCTTTTGACTCTCTCCTGACCAGAAGACTGGTTCTGTGCAATTGGAAGGACCCACACTCCCCATATGTACAACGGATAAGGGAGGTAACTTATTATAGTCATCTGGAAACAATAAGATATACCGTGAAGAGTTCTGTTAAAACATTTTGGGACACTTGGCAGCCTTTCAGGTTGTACATAGAAACCATGTCAATGCCTAG